ACTAAAGCCCAACCCCTTCAGGGCTTTTGAAGGGAAAGTCTGGGCCTTAAAACTGGGGACTAAAACCCCAAACTGGGAACAACAGACCCAAACTGGGAACAACAAACCCAAACTGGGGACAACAAACCCCAAACTGGGGACAACAAACCCCAAACTGGGGACTAAAAACCCCAAACTGGGGACTAAAAACCCCAAACTGGGGACAACAAACCCCAAGCTGGGGACTAAAACCCCAAACTGGGGACTGAAAACCCAAGCTGGGGGCTCCAATCCCATACCAGGCCATTATCCTGACATTCCTGGCCCCCTACCCTGGGTCAGCACCACGGATAGGAAACAGCAAATCCCTCCTGGAGCAGGGAGGAATCAGCCAAGGAGATACATGGGATCCAGGAGCATCCAGAGCAGCAGATCTTCCCCAGGGAACAGGCAGTGGATTGGAATTGTGCCTTCCAGGAAAAGGGAAAGGAAGGCAAGGCAAGTTTGGACAAGTTTGGGGGAGTTTGGACAAGTTTTGAGGAGTTTGGATGAGTTTTGAGGAGTTTTGAGGAGTTTAGACGAGGAGTTTTGAGGAGTTTGGATGAGCTTGGAAAAGTTTTGAAGGTTTTGGACAAGTTTTGAGGAGTTTTGAGGAGTTCGGACAAGGAGTTTTGAGGAGTTTTGAGGAGTTTTGAGGAGTTTGGACGAGTCTGGACAAGAAGAAAAAGCAGGAACAGGTTCAAAGCTCTGCTCTGGCCCCAACACTCTGAGCAGAATCCTGAAAAAATGAGGAATTTCAGGACACTCAACCCCTGTAAAGAACAATTCCAGTCAGAAAAGGGGCTCAAAAAAACCCTTCATCTCTTTTGACCACAAATCTCTTGCTTTTGGAGAAGTTTGGAGGAGAAGGGTTGGGAGAAGGAGAAAAAGCAGGAGCAGGTTCAAAGCTCTGCTCTGGCCCCAATACTCCGAGAAGGAGAGAAGATGATCTCCAGGAGCTCTGCAGGAGCCCTGAGCTCCTCAGAGACCTGACACAGGACTCCCTCTGGCAGAGGATTTCAGTGGGAATCATCCCAGTTTCTGGATTTCCCAGATTGGTTTGGATGGGAAGGGACCTCAAATCTCATCCAATCCCACTCTGCTCTGGGCAGGGACATCTCCCACTATCCCAGGCTGCTCCAGCCTGGCCTTGGGCACTTCCAGGGATGGGGCATCCCCTGGGAATTCCATCCCAGCCCCTCACCACCCTCCCAGCCAGGAATTCCTTCCCAATATCCCATCCATCTCTGCCCTCTGGTAGTGGGAAGCCATTCCCTGTGTCCTGTCCCTCCATCCCTTGTCCCCAGTCCCTCTCCAGCTCTCCTGGAGCCCCTTTAGGCCCTGCCAGGAGCTCCAAGGTGTTCCTGGAGCCCTCTCTTCTCCAGGGGAACATTCCCAGCTCTCCCAGCCCGGCTCCAGAGCAGAGCTGGATGGGATAACTCCACCCATTCCTCGATTCCCACATTTCACCCCCTGGGAGGCTCCAGCTGAGCTGGGAGCAGGGGCAGGAGGGCTGAGCTCGACTCAGGGCAGAGGTTGGGGAGCAGACCCCAAGCCCTGTCGGGACCGGGAGCCACCGGGAAGCCGCCGGAGGAGCCCAAGTGTCCCCTCGTGTCCGCTCCGAGCCCGGCGGCTCCTCCCAAACCTGCCCTGGAAAATCACGGAATCTCGACGGCCACCCCCGAGGTGGGTCCGACCCGGGTTATTCCTCCGGTTCAACAGTTCAGGAGGGTAAAAACGGTGCCAGAGATGCAAGAAAATGCCGGTTTGGTGTCACAGCAGGTAAAGAGCCCCCAAAACCACCCCCGTGGGGCTCGGCTGGGCGGGTC